ACAATACGTGACCGGTGCAAGTCGACAAAATTGGGAAGCAGTTGACCGACTTCTTTTTCAGTTAAATAAAAACGAACCTCTGCAAATTTGGAATGCTGAGAAAAATATCGTCGAACAGCACACCCACCTTTGTACAAGTTTCATAGTACAAACTTGTTTCTTGAAACTTCTTGTCCTTGGCATATCGTAATTTGTTCTTTCCAGGATGGGCCCGTACCCACATACCGTTGCCTAGTCTTTTGAACCTAAATGGAAGGCTTACTACAAACAAAGCAGCTACTAATATCTTGACATCGCTTTTGTTAGAAACATTTATGAAACTACTTGAAGTGAATGCTGAAGTTATAGTGTACCTATAATAGGCGAAGAGTTTTGGAATACGCAAGAAAAAAGCATACAAAACTCAAAATAAATGACGGGAATGCAAATCGGATCGAAATTAAGAAGAAGCTAGGCTTTGATGGAAAAGAAAAGTTACGAAAGGTGAGCGCATTTTTAAGAGAAACAAAAAGTTTAACTACAAAACAAAAGCACAACTATAGAAAGGCGATGCTGCCAAAATAACAAAAAGCTAACCTATCAAGGACGTCTTGAGCAGGTCTTTTGCGTCCTTCCTTCGGGCTAAATCTGATGTGGTATTCATAGTGAGGTATACGAGCTATAGTTCTAGAAGAATGCACAGTCAATGGCGCTATCTTATCCAGCAAGTTACGACAGAACGGTATCATCCTGCAAACCTGAAGTTATTGCTATACATTCAACGGCATCAGACTCAAAGATTTCGTACAAGGGATTGCATCTTCTACGAACGAGTAGGTAGGCGCAAGTAGCACTATGACTATGGAGCAATGAATTAAACTTACAAAATGCATATTTAAAGGAGAAGACAAGCCTCAAAGTTCTCGCTAAAAATGCGTGAAGTCCCTTGCAGAAGGTGCGACAGCAGCACACTATAAATGACGGCACTGCACTATTCTGTGAAATTGTAATGCGAAGTCATGTCTATGTGTCTGTTTCGTTGCTTCTCTTCGTAACTTTTTTTAAGAAAAAAATTCAGAAAATGAGTTTTAAATTGTTCAATTAACTTCCATTTTATTGGAACATTTCCTCTCCAAAATTAACTTCTGCTTTTTGAAGGTTTTACCTTTCAAATCTTGGTATTTTCTTTTGCACTTTTGCAGTCAAATAATGGTTGATCTGGCACAGTTCTGCAGAAATAAACCACTGCAGTGGAAGGCGCATTTGTCTTTCTTAACTGTTAGGAATTTTTCTTGATTCGACTCAACAGTATACCTCATTTTATATGAAACCCTTTACGGAACATAATAACAAGGTCTTGCTCATTGCTTTCTTTGCCGGCATTTGCGTACGAGCACAACTTCCAACATTAGTAC